TGTAAACCGTAAAGTCTTTTCGTACTTTTCTTTTCATTTCTGGAGCCTCATCTTTTATTCAAAGAGAATCCAGAAAAGATTCCCCTTGTTGAGCAGCTAGAAAAATATGGAAGCTCTTTGGAGATGGGAATGACTTCAGTTGACTTTAAAATGAGCAATAACACCTGGATCTTCCAGAACGTGTAGGCCTCCAAATATCATCCTGAGCCACGGGGGCGGCATGGTTAGAGTGCAGTACTGCATGCTACGTCTGCTGACTGCCGGCTGCCTGCAATTCAGCGGTTCAAATCCCACCAGGCTCAAGGTTGACTCAGCCTCCCATCTTTCCAAGGTGGGTAAAATGAGGACCCAAATTGTTGGGGGGCAAGAGGCTGACTCTGTAAGCCACATAGAGAGGGCTGTAAAAGCACTACGAAGCGGTATATAAGTCTAAGTGCTATTACTATTGCTTCCTTTCTTCCTTTCTCTCTTAATTCCCTTTCTCATTCTCCTTCCTGGTAACGCAGTGCTTAGAATGCAATATTGCAGGCTGCTACTGCCGACTGCCAGGAGTTCGATCCTGACCGGCTCAAGGTTGACTCAGCTTTCCATCCTTCCGAAGTTGGTAAAACGAGGACACAGATTGTTGGGGCAATAAGCTGACCACTTAGAGAGGGCTGTAGAACACTATGAAGCAGTATATAAGTCTAAGTGCTATTACTATTGCTTCCTTTCTTCCTTTCTCTCTTAATTCCCTTTCTCATTCTCCTTCCTGGTAACGCAGTGCTTAGAATGCAATATTGCAGGCTGCTACTGCCGACTGCCAGGAGTTCGATCCTGACCGGCTCAAGGTTGACTCAGCTTTCCATCCTTCCGAAGTTGGTAAAACGAGGACACAGATTGTTGGGGCAATAAGCTGACCACTTAGAGAGGGCTGTAGAACACTATGAAGCAGTATATAAGTCTAAGTGCTACTGCCTGCCTGCCTGCCTGCCTACCTATTTATTTATCTATCCTGACTCTGTAAACCGCTTAGAGAGGGCTTAAAAGCACCATGAAGCGGTATATAAGTCTAAGGGCTACTGCTATCCTGCTTAAGAGAAGGACTTAATTCTTTGATCTGCTCCAGGGACATTAAGGCTTGATAAGACAAAGCTCGGCTGAATTATTCTGAATTATTCGAAGCAGGCACGCAGCAGGATCTCATACGAGACCCGGCTTGATGGGTGAAGGGCAAAATATGAATGGCAGATCCTCGCCCAGCCGCAGAGATCAACTGGGGGAGGGGTGCCTTTTCCAATTTCCATGCCACCCATCTGGCACCCCCAGTTTGGGAATCTGGACATTCCACCCCCTGCATGCTGTTGTTGCGAGTGCGATAAGAGCTGTTATCAATTTGCATGCTAAACAGCTCTGGATGCAAGAGGGTAAACCAGCTTTCTGCCAAACCACATCTGATGCAGCCTTCCCACTGATGTGGTTGTGAAAAGACAAGACTTGGGATGGCTGATGCCCCCCCCCCTCCTACTTTCTCCAGTTCCAGGCCTCCTTAAAAATAAGAAGCACATAACTAGAATAATGCGGTGGTTTAACTCTTTAGGGCTCTTTCATATCCTGGCTTCATAATAGATGCAGAGATGCATAGAATAACAGAGTTGGAAGGGACCTTGGAGGTCTTCTAGTCCAACCTCTGCTTGAGCAGGAGATCCTATTCCATTTTGGACAAGTGGCTGTCCAGTCTCTTCTTAAAAGCCTCCAAGTGATGGAGCATCCACAACTTCTGGTGGCAAGGAGTTCCACCGGTTAATTGTCCTTACTGTTAGGAAGCTTCTCCTTAGTTCTAAGTTGCTTCTTTCCTTGACTAGTTTCCATCCATTGCTTCTTGTTCTGCCCTCAGATGCTTTGGCTTGACTCCCTCTTCTTTGGGGCAGCCTCTCAAATACTGGAAGGCTGTTCTCATGTCACCCCATGTCCTTCTTTTCAATAGACTAAAAAGGTAAAGGTTCCCCTTGCACATCTGTGCTAGTCATTCCCGACTCTAGGGAGCGGTACTCATCTCTGTTTCAAAGCCGAAGAGCCAGCGCTGTCCAAAGACGTCTCCGTGGTCATGTGGCCGGCATGACTCAACTCCTGAAGGCGCACGGAATGCTGTTCCCTCCCCACCAAAGGTGGTTCCTATTTATCTATTTGCATTTTTTAACGTGCTTTTGAACTGCTAGGTTGGCAGAAGCTGGGACAAGCTCACTCTGTTACACGGCATTAGTGATTTCAACCGCCGAACTGCTGCCCTTCTGATCAACAAGCTCAGCATCTTAGCCACTGAGCCACCACGTCCCTACCTTTCAATAGACTAGACATACCCAATTCTTCATATACATTTTAACCTCAGAACAAAACAATGGCCAGGCCAGAATTTTCTCCGAGAGCAGCTGATCAGCTATGGAACCCATCCGAGATCTGGTAGACCAAGGTCAACATCTAATGTTCTTCAAGAAGTCAATAGTTGCCATCAGGAGCCCATGGTGGAGAAGCAACTCTTCCCCACGCCCTTTGGGCTCCACTGATTCATTTATTTACGTCTCCTCTTGACTTCTTCCTTGGCATGAAGGTTAAGGATGATGGCGATCCAAGGGAAAACAGCCTTAGGAAATGCCATTTGCCCTGAAGGCGATGGCAGGGCTCGAAATCTCTGACAGCTACCGCTGCTCCAGGAAATGAGAAAGAAGCTGATTTAATCCCTACGTTTGCCAACAGGGTGTGGAGAGATCTGGAGGAACAAGGGGAAGGAAGGAAGGAAGAACAGAAGCAGCGTTTCAAATCCTCTAACTCTCTCACGACCGTGGACTACTCTAATGTGTGTTCAGATCCTTTGTGGGGATGGCTGGGATTAAAATGAAGCCGCCGATGAAGACAGAAATAGGATGGGTTTTGATCTCTCCATTCCTAGGAGCTCTGCTTTGTCAAATCCGACTCGAAACAAGTAAACAAGAAGAAGAAGAAAGAGACTAACCGATAGGATGTCTGAATTTAGATTTCTCTCCTTTGCTTTAGGAGATAAAAGCAGTTTAGGCAACCCTGCTTGCAAATCTGTTTGGGCTGAAAGAAAGCAACCAGTTTAAAGTCACCCAGTGAGTTCCACGGGCCAAGAATGGACAAACAGGTGTTTCTTGAGCCCATCCTGAACCATTGCACTCTACTGGTTCTCTGGACACTTCTGCGCCCTTCCAGATGTTAAGAGGAGAACCTCAGAGTTTCCACAGATGTTCTGAAGGTCTTACTTGCACATGACAATGGCAGCTGATTCCCAGGGAGTCTTACCATAAGGATTCATGTGGTCACCTGGCATTTGTGGCGGGGTAAGACCTTGCTGGAAAGGATCAGTGGCGTAGGTGCTCTGGTCCATTGCTACAATCTGTTGCTGCGGTGGTGCAAGGGGTGTGTAAGATGTCATTATCCCTTCCATCCGGTTGGACATCACTTCTGCAAGATGAAACAAAGACAACTCCAAGTAATGCTTGACTCACAGTCAACTTACCAGAAGTATTTATTATTATTATTATTATTATTGTTCATCGCACTGTCAGCCAGATGTTCAGATTGGGTCTGGCGTTTTTGCCCAGCTATCGTTCTTCCTAAGGAACTGGGATAGGCAGATGTGGTGATTTCATGGGGTTAAAAAAGGACTATGTCAGGGATGTAAGCTGTTCCTACCAAAGCTGCCTTTTGCAATTGACTGATGGGGATGGCGTCAATGCCGGTGGTTATTATTGTTGTTGGTTGCAAAGCCAGCCAGATGTTTAGACTGGATTTGGCATTTTTATTCCTTCTATTGAGTCCTTCCCAAGGCCCTGCAATAGGCAGATGTGGGTGTATTAAAGGTATTAGCACCGGATGAATAAACAGCTTTTGCAATTGACTAATATAAATTTTGTCAATGCCAATGATATTTATTATTATTGTTGTTGTTATTATTCTTATTCTTATTAATCATCACACAGTCAGCCAGATGTTCAATCTGGGTTTGGCATTTTTGTCTACCTATCGAGCCTTTACCAAGGACCTGAGCTATGCAAATCTGGATGTTTGACGGTGTTACAGATATTGTTGCAGGATGGAAGCAGTTTCAAGTAAAGCCGCCTCCTGCAATTGACTGATGGCAAATTTGTCAATGCTGACAATGTTCAAGTGGTTGGATGTTCCAGTTGTTTTCAAGGCAACTCCCAAGGGAACTGTGACAATTGGTACTACCCTTGCTTGCCTTCGCCATAGTCATTCTATTTCTATTTGTAGGTCTATGTATTTTGTTATCTTCTCCTATCTTCTCTTCTATTCTGCTGCCACATCCATTATTATTATTATTATTATTATTGTAATTTTATTGCTATTGCTGTTGTTGATATTATTATATTTGTTTGTTTGTTTATTGGATTTATATGCCGCCCTTCTCCCAAAGGACTCAGGGCGGCGTACAACATTAAAAAAATAACCACATATTACAAAAGTTAAAAAGAAAATTAGATAGAGTATCCAAAAACAAACCCAATTAATATTAACAATAAAATTTTAAATTCGATTAAAATTAACAATAATCAATCATTTATTTTATTATATTTTGTTCAGGCCAGGCCGCCTTGCTGGAAAAGCCAACTTTTTAGAGCGCGTCGGAAGGGCCGGAGGTCGGGGATTATACGAAGCTCCGGGGGCAGCTCATTCCAGAGGGAAGGAGCTCCCACAGAGAAGGCTCTCTCCCTGGGGGTCGCTAGCCGACACTGTCTGGCCACCCTGAGGAGGCCAACTCTGTGGGATCACACTGGACGATGGGAGGCTAC